AGAGTCACAAAGTAATTTTCAAATAATGTTTTTGGAGCATGTGCTGAAATCTTATTGAACTGGTAAACAGTTTTGTTATTAATAACAGCTATCATTTTTAAGAACTGATAGCTGCTTATTAACATGTCTCATCAATTGTTTTTATAAACAGGGGGTCAATCTGAAAGCCGTGGCCCAGTAGCCTTGACATTCTCTGGAAATAGTTCAGGACACAGAGATAGCTGTTTCAGTCTTGAGGTTGTGGGGTTCTGTCCAGGTCTCTTGTACAAGCATGGTCTCTGGTTCACTGGTCTCTGAGCCCTAGTGGTCACACAACGGACCAGCTCCTCCCACAAATATTCAGGTGGGCTCTGGTCTGGTGAGTAGGGAGGGGATCCAGGGTATACTGTATCTGTCAACTCTCATGTCAAGTTTTATTGTTGCACAAACACATGAGGAGGCGCACTGTCCCGATGGAATTATTATCAGGTCCACATGAGGATGCTGGAAGTGCAGCAGGTGTTGTCCAAGGACTCAGGTTCATGGTCAATGGTCCAAGGTTCATGCAGTGCTGTGCAGTCAGGTTGCCATCAATCACTACAAGCGGGGTTCTGATATGATTTCTGCCCAGCCCATCACAGACCTCCTGGGTCGGTTGGACACAACAATTAGCTACAGTATTTGTTCCTTTCTGGTTTTAATGTCTCGATTGCTACCAAGCTTGACAGTCAAATTCGATCACCCCCTCACCTGTGCGTAATGAACCCTCTCACAATTGACTTAACTGTCAAAATCACTCGAGTGCATCATGGTCATTAATGATTTTTGGATTAATCAAAATGACCACATAAATATTTAATAAATATCCAAAATCAATATACTTTATATTTCTACAAGTGGACCTGCATAAACAGTGATGTTTCTTTTGATGCTTGCTATATAATTCTGCACTGTAATTAGATACAGTCTATAAATATGAAGACAAGTCTGAGCAGTGTTTTAAAATGTTTCTATTATATATAAGAGCAGAAGCACAACATTTCTCTTTAGAAACATGCCAGTGTCCTGTTATGACTGTTAATGCAAATTATAATCCTGCATATATGATCAGTTTTGTTTACAGAAATTTCTCATATGTTCTAAGCTACTACACATTTAGTGTTACTAAAATCCACCACATTTGTACTAAATAAAAAAGGCAGTACATGCAGTCTGAATTGTTAAGCAATGTTAAATTTGCTAATTTATGAAAACATGTATCTTTTCTTGTGTACTATGCTCTGACATTATTTAAAAGTATAACAAATAAAGTTAAATTTCTATCATTCATCATAATGAAATGGTCACTAGTCAGTACACTAATTACATATATTCACAGCATAGATATAACCATCATTAATAAGATTATTTGCATTTAGCTACAGACTTGCAAGGGTCCTTGCACAAACTGCACAAATTTACACAAAGCACAAAACTTCGACAACTTCTTCCATCCATTTACTAACCACTACATCCAATATAGGGTTGTGGGGGAGCTGGAGCCTATCCCAGAAAGCAATGGGCACAAGGCAGGGTACATCCCTACCAGACACCATTCCATCACACAGCACACACAGTTTTCCCAGAAGCCAATTAACCGACCAGCCCTTCTTCTTTCGAAGGGCCTTTACTTAACTGGTTCCATTTCTGCCCCTCTGGTGATACCATATTCACTGCTCCCTCCTCCTGTCTCCTCTCATTGTGTACTTTCATTGTGCGTATCTTGTGGATTTTTGTTGTTGTTGTTGTTTTGTAAAGTGCTTTGAGAAGCCACCTTTAAAGGTTTAAATATTAAAGTTTGTTATTATGATGACGTTGTCACGCCCAGTACACCTAGAGGGCTCTAATCTGAAGTTTCCCTCCTATCTGAAGAAATGTGACATTATTACAGTAGCCATAATATGCAAAATATATTTTAGCCTTGTTTCTAAAATAAGCAATTGGAAATTATCCTCATTTGCATCCCATTAAAATAATGATGTCATACATGAACGTCAGAACTACAACTGGACATGATGACTATCGCTGACAAATGGTAAAAACAGACGAGTGTGCTGCCTCATTTAAAAGAAATGGTTAATCAGGAATCAGGCTCAGGAAGTTTATATGAACAGAGACTGGCCACAACAATCCTCCAAACGGATTAAGAGAGGTCCTTGCATATTGACCAAAAGATTAAAAAATGAAACGCCTGCGAGTATGGCCTAATCCAATGTATATGAGGAGATCAATAGGTTTAAAGGTGAACTGACCTGAATGACCGACAATGTGTGGGAGCACAGCACTGCAACCAGTGAGCAAATTGATCCTAAGTGTAAATTTCTAGGAGAGAAAGTGCAAAGAATTTAGAGATTAGCACGTTCTTTTGAGAACAGAATCCTTTTACTCTTACAACGACAAAAATGTGTGTGCACCCTGGGTCTCACCAATGCTAGCTGATCAACAGAAATACGATCTATTTCGCACCTGCGATTCGGTGAATAGGTGCGGTGGTGTGAAACGTAAGGAGAAGGTGTTTCTGCACTTAGTCATCGCTGATGACAAACCATACCACACAGCTGGTCTACTCGTTTGAATCGGATATTTGTTTCCAGGTTACCAACAAGCAATTCCCTCTGTGCTAGAAAAAAACACGGCATCCACCTCCTGCAACTGGTGGAACATTCTCTTCCCAGTGCTCTCTGAGGAAACATCGACGAAAATCGCATAAAAAACACACATTGTGAACACTCCGATATACATCCCGCGCATTACTCAACACCATTGGTCATCCGTATAGCCAATAGGAGCACAACATGCGTGTATCATTACTACACCCGTGGTCTTCCCGACTCTGGGCACTGGGGATGCTTAACTCTTCTGCTCTTTTACAGCACCCCACTGTCATTTTATTCATTAAAGTATTTCACAGGGGCGGACGTATTAATGAAGACATTATTCATACAGTGTTTCACATATTTAACTTTTAAACCGCGGTATTTTGATGTCCCCCCTGCAGAAAAGCTCATCAAACGTAAGATGAAGTGGGCTGTTCAAAAGTCAAAAGGAACCAAGATTTAAGAGGCTGAACACATTTAAACACGATTTCTTGTCAGCCTACATAGGTTGACAAGCTATAAGGTTTTATTAGCACTGAAAAACAGCGCAGTGAACAATTACAGTGGGTTACATCAAGGGCATGACACACTATACTGCATTAGACCTACAAAAATGTATATGTATTGCCGATCTTGAAGCAAATAAGTAAAGAAAGTGATATAGCCTCTATATAATCAATATGTGTACAGGTTTATGTTTTACAAGTTTTCAACTTTTTCGTTTCTAAAGGAGAAAAAAAGCCTGCGGTGAATGAATTTTAAGGCATGCCACCAGTTAAAATCATTCACGACTCCTACATAAAAACTCACTTATCGCACTTGTGTCACTTATCGCTGCGAATGCCTATTCTGCTGCTACAAGTCGTGTTAATCATTTGATATTCGTCAGTCCTTCCGTGTGACTGAAACAGAAACAAGCTGTAAATGTTTCATTCGGTTCAAACATATATCATTCTTCACGCATACAAATGCACAAAACGATGAGAAGCACAGTAGCTCGGGGGAGACGAGAGGTGAACACACAGGATGATTTAGAAGTTTTAATGTACTTGTATTTTTGGCAACATTACAAAAATAGAATTCGACACCGGCACTCGACTATGTTCGTGAAGGGTTCCAGCACATAAATCTCTGGTAGACAAAAACTGCACTGTACCCACTCACATCCATCAACCTTTGCTACCAAATGAATTTAATAACCAAGGAAGTTTTGACAAAATATTCCAGAACATCAGAATTTCCACCAAAGATTAAGCCAAGAAATCATTTTTGTGTGTCCCAAAACATATAACTTAAATGACCGTGTACTGAAATGTTTATGTACAGTATGTGTTTCGAGGTGTCCTTATCTTAAAAATAATGGTTTTCTTTTTCATACTGTAACTCATTGAAATAGAAGCAAATTGTTGCTGTGATAAAGTGTCAGTTTTCCCACTCTTCTGCTTAAACGTGTCTAATTATGCTTAGAGACAACGCGATCAATAACAGTGTCCTTCCCTAAAATCTATTGCTCATTTCACTTCACCACACCGGGGCTGCTCCAAACTTCAGCATGGTTGAGACTTGGTAAAAAAATCAATTACTTGCTAGCAATTACGTGCAATTAATACTAGCTCAACCTCAGCCTGCTTATTTCAAAGCGTCTGTAAAGCTTTCCAAAAGCAAATACTGAGTTGCTGACTACACGCGCATGATATTCTGAGCCGTGAGGGAGGTCAGGGATGTCTGTGTAATTGAGAGAGCAGACGTTACGCCTCTCTTGTTTCTGGCCTCCGCACGTTTGAAAAAAAAATTAGTCTTGTCCATCTCTTCACCTCAGTTATTTAGCTAGAATTTTGCACGATGCTTTCTACGGCAGTGAGTTGAAACCACTGCCCGTATTAGTATATTCCAGCTGTGCAGCGCTACTGAGGAACAGCAGCCTAGCTTAGAGGTTTAAGAGTTGTGTCCCCTCAAAGTGAAGTCTGCAGAATTTTTTTTTTCAGTAACACAGATAGAACATTTTATCTTTAATACATCATTATTTTTATCAGCATTTAGGATGTGTCCAGTTCATGCATTGAAGCTGCCGTAAAAGCACGTGATATCGTTCAAAGCACTTCAACTTCACTTATATTACTGTATTCCGTCAGCTTAGACACAATAAAAGATTTCATGCTGAAAAATCAAAATTCATTCATTTAAAGATCGATTTTTCTTTTCTTTTTTTTTCAGTGTTATTGTACGGTCCGTTACAATGATTTATTTTTTTTAAAAAAGGGTTCCCTTTGATTAATAGACAGCATGAACGCATAATCATATTGGGACAATGTTACAGAGCACAGCTGCTACACAGAGCTCCTTCTGTCCCGGCAGCACTGGTGTGTCAGAGTTATTGTCATGTTCGTACAGTTGTCTTCTTGTCCAGTCTGGCTGCCGTCTGTTTGTGTGAGTAAAAACTTTCCGAGTGTGTGCTCCCGGGATGTGTCTCTAGTTTGCAGCACGTGATGTAGCCTACTATACAGCGCTGCCTCATAAATATGCAGAAACAAGACATCAGACATTGACTGCAGTAGCAACGCTGCCCGTTTCAGCGAGGCGCACATGCGAGACCAGCTCTGCCACTTTGCAAAACCAAGGCAAAGGCAAATACTTATACTAAGAAACAGATCCACTGCAATACTACAATTCAAAATCGCAGGAAATTAAAGAACCCGCATTCTGGACTGTACATGGTGTCTGGATTAATGCCAGATTATCATCGGTTTGCGAGAATTCCATACAACTGGACAAACAATGTGAAGGTAATGTAATTGATTGCAATTAATGCCATGTTGTTCAAAGCATTTCTCTGTTGTGTGCGGTACAACTTCGCCAGTCATTCCAAGAAGCGCAAATATAAGCAGGTTACTTGTGATTATCCGACAACTGATGCTCCGCTTATTTATAAAATGATCTGTTGCTTTTTCGGTGCCGATAGTTGTAATCGGAGACGGTGCTATTACCTTGGTCTCCGCTCTATAAATAAACAGTGGGTTGATGTCCATGCGTTTGGGGAATGCAATGGAAATTAAAACGCCGTGTTGGGAATGGAAATGCAGTAATTGGGAACAGCAGTATTGGAAACACATATCTGGTGTTCAATCTTAGGGTGTCTTTGGGGAAAAAAAGAAAACAACATCATGGTTTCCAATTCAATTGCTATTAATTACGTTAATTAAAAAATGCAGGCTAGATAATCAATAAAATGTAATGCTCGTCAGTCTTGGGAAATGAATGGCACTACACTCGGAATTTCAAGGTTTACCAAAGGCGTCAAATTCGGCAAACTGCAGCAATCCCGTCAATTCTCGTTTCCCAGCGTTAGACCACTGTGTTTTTTTCCACAGATCTGGGCATTTTGAAAAGCATTTATCCTTCAGAGCATTGCATGATGTCATCTTTTCAAAGTTTAATACTTCTGTCATTTCAGTGTTCCTGATTCATGATTGAACTGCAGGTATTTCTTATTCCTCTGCCTACTGTATAATAGTCCTATCACGACTTTATTGCCAAACTCCACATGGTCCTGATTCTATTGTCACGAAATCGTTTATGTGCACGATCCCCGCAACTAGGCTGTGGGGTGCAGATAAACGTTATTACTTGAAATAATTCGTTAATTCTACTAATTGGACTATCGAACAAATCCGATTCACATCAGTACAAAATCTCCTCACTACTGAGCGGAAGATGCATTGTTCTAGTAAAAGTGATCGTTACTATTGTACACCATTAACGGTTCAACCCATTGAATCATCAGCATAACAGGTAGCAACGCTTAAGGAGCAACGCTTTTTAAAATCAGTGTACGAGCTGTTATCGCAAACAGCTGTCGGAGTAATGCATTTAAACACAAACATGTGGGTACTACTGACTCCATGAGTAAGGAATAATGACCAAAGGTACAGCCGTTAACCTTATCTTAATAGTCGCGGTAGGCGCGGATCGCTGCTTCCACCTGACACGGAAAAGCTTAGTAAGAAAAGGAGGTTTGTAGGCTGGACTGTAGATTGCTTAGCATCCAAATCTCAGACAACCACGCACATAAAAAGTCTCCTGTGAGTTCGAAAACTACATTGGCCAAAAATGGCATTAACAGTCTTACAACCAATATGCAGATCACCGTGAAAGTGTTTTATTTTTAAGTCGTCTCCAGGCCCGGTGAGCCCGCGATCTACAGTATAACCTTGACCTTTAGGTCTTTTCGTACAGGCGTACTGGCATCACTACGTACCGTAGGGTACAGATTTCACATGCAGACAGCGTTGGTTATTGCCGTAAGTGTTCTCGAGAATGTTTAAACTACCACGATTTTTAAACAGCGTCGTGTCTCAAGATAACATCTTACATGTATATATTAGGCAAATCAATCTTGTCGCCCCGTGAGAATATGAATACAAGATAACCAGTTTCAATGTGCTTTCTTGTTATTATTTTAAGAAGAAAATGAATATCATTTTCTTGCATCGACGTTGAAATCTTACCAGACTGTAGGAGGTAGTAGCCTGGGCTGCCAGCGTTTGATAAGTTAATCAAAGACCCGAAGTATGAAACGTGACAAAAGGGATAGTCGCAACGACACCTTGATGACTGAGAAGCGTGCAGCCAGCGGTTTCATTAAAGAAAATGCAAAAAATGAAACAACACTAGGCGTCTAACCAATAGCCCCAACTAAAACTGTGCCTATTAAAGTCACGCAATTGTCCCTCTAGTTTTCTAATTAGAGTGCATTCAAACGCGAACAGATTTTATTCTGTACCTCTTTAATGTAATTCGTTCCATGGATCATCGGGTTTCAAACGAACAAAAGCACTTGAAAAATATTCGTTTAGGAATTTCACAGAAGGTTAAGCAGGGCTTAATTGGAATTCCGATAACAATCCATTTGGCATTGAAATGTTTTTAATGATTATTTCGCCACGGACTTTACTCAGAACTTGACACGGTACGTCGGAGTAACTGTAGCGCCGAGGGACTTGAAAAATGATTTTGTAACTTCAGAGCCTCAGATCTGTATTCCCAAATCTTTACGGTTTAGAAAGGTGTATGGCCCAACCTTTTTTTCAGTGTTAGAATCTGGCGCTGGTGCGAATCACCTTTGTTTTACACAACCAAGAAACATCAAACATCTTACTGGAGAAAATGACCTATTTAACAAGTAAATGGTTAGTGGTGAATGGTAAATGGTGATGGTTATTAATATTCTTTTTACTTATTTAAACCAATTTTTAACAAAACGCCAAACACAAAATGTCCTGAGAATGTGAATTTAATCATGTAGAGCCTATCCAATCTGGGATAATGTCGACTTGTGGAATAGAGGAGCGATGATAACCAATACAGCTCCTCTATAAAATAATAATAGTTTTGGAAGGCAACAACCTAAGTCAGATCAGAATATTTGAAAATGTAAATAATCATATTTTAACATTTCTGAGAATTGTTCCTATTTCCTCTCCAGTTGTTCTGTACCGTATCACTACTGCTAAGGCTTCATGAGCTTTCCTGCTCCTGAATTGTTTTTTAGGAAATCGTGACCCCCTGTGGTTAATGTGCGTATTGAATCGTAAACCAGCTGTCTCTAGCTTGTGGCTTTGCGCAGCCCAGTGGACATAATCATCGGCTCAAAAGTCATTTGCTGAATTATCGCGGGCATTTATACACAATTAGGAGTTAATGCACTTCGGGTTATATGATGGCTAGCAAATATTCTAATGCCACAGCTGTTTCTTTCTTTTTTTAGCTTCTGCAGTTCACATTTACATCTAGAAGATGCTACATTTGTTTTTCCTCTGTGCGCTCACATGCTTTATCTGAGCTTCATCTGAGCTTCAACCTTTCAATTAGTTGTATGCCTTAACAATGATGGTATAAAGTGAGAGAAGTGTAGCCCACTCCAGTATTGGATAGGACTGCCAGGCTGCCAAAGAGTCAAGTAGAAGGAAGGATGGAGCTGCCCTGTGCATAACGAGATGAGCAAAAGTGAAGTGGTATTGTCTGAGCCTTGTTGCCTAGGGAGAAATACAGTTTTAATATGATGAACGTGCAGTTCGGTCAATATCTGACCCACTCTTTTTTCACGCAATACGGGTTAAAAATGTCCCTCACAAAATAAAATAATTCAGAATTATTTTACTGAATATATCGTATTCAAAACAGCATGATCATAATATTTGTTTTTTTTTAAATCGCTTTTTTTCCAGGACATTCAGCTTTGCCTTCTGTCCTTCTGTTAAATGGTTGTGCCGTTTTTTTTTTCTGACATTAAAGTTTGTTAGGCAGGATAAGCTGTCTTACTCTATGTTTACTCATACTGCCGAGATCCGATCCCATGGAGGGGTCTTAAAATAATCAAGCGCAATTTGGAAGGTACTGACCACACGGGGACACGGGGTTGAAAAGAAATAGCAGTTAAGTCTATAAAGCATGTGATGGTTTACTGCTCACAGGAGCAAAAGGCTTTGTGACTTTGCCCTTTGTGTCTGAAGGACATCTGCCCCAGTGTCAGCTGGTTAATACTGATTGAAGTCTGTACACCCAAGCAAGTCATCTGCCTGCACAAATATAGAAAATGAATGGTCTCCATCCCCCCAGCTGTGACATTTAATGGAATATTAATGGGCGACGCAAAAGAAAAGTACAAAAGAATTTTCAAACCACAATTTGAAGTCCGAACTACACCTTTTCTTAGCCCTCCAGATTCTAATCATTATTTGTAAGTATGTTGATCAACAGGGTAACTTCTCAAGATCTTACTTTAGGAAATATTTCATGTGAAACCAAGTCGTGGCAAATCCAGAAAATATCTTTAGGAAGGCGGGGGGGATATTGTTTAATTTACCAAGTGCTTGCGTCCGGTTTTAAGCTTTGTTTTCCGATCGGTTCAGAACAAAATGCCTGTGAACTCAGGTTTCAAGCACTTTTTAAGGTGCAAATGTGAAGATAGTAAAGAGTTTTGTCTGGGCATGTCCTAAAAGAAAGACTTTTGCAAGTAACCATTCCTCTCCTAAAATAAATGAGAAAAAAACTACTTTGCACACAGCCAAATAATATTAATAACAGAATAAATATATCAATTGCCATGTCTGTTCTGTCCTTTTCTCAGGTGTCCTAGACAGTATCTCGGGTTCTCGGCGTACCTCAGACACAACCAGCTATGAAGTCTGTTCTGGATGGCGTAGCGGACACCACCTTCCGGACCATCACCACCGGGCTGCAGTACCTCGGTTCCAACGACGTCCACTATGACGACCCCAGCGCCAGCCTCGACCTCGCCAAGAATGGATATGCTTTGCAGAAGCTGCCCTTCTCCGCCTTCAGGACCAACTCCTTCCAGGGCAAGGTGCCGGCCGATGAAGAGCTCTTTCTGAAGGGCATCCCGTTCTACCCAACAAACATCACTGACCTGTACTCCAACAGAAGTACCCCCACCTACATGGACGAAGAAGGCAACATCCAGTGTGGGGAGAACTTCATGGATATGGAGTGCTTTATGATCTTGACGCCCAGTCAGCAGCTGGCCGTGGCGGTGATGGCGCTCACCTTGGGCACGTTCACCGTCCTGGAGAACCTGGTCGTGCTCTGCGTGATCTTGCACTCGCGCACGCTCCGCAACCGCCCCTCCTATCACTTCATTGGCAGCCTGGCCGTGGCGGACTTGCTCGGCAGCGTGATCTTCGTGTACAGCTTCGTCGACTTCCACGTGTTCCACCGCAAGGACGGCCCCAACGTGTTCCTGTTCAAGCTGGGAGGCGTCACCGCCTCGTTCACGGCGTCCGTCGGGAGCCTCTTCCTCACCGCCATCGACAGGTACATCTCCATTCACAGGCCACTGGCCTACAAGCGGATTGTCACCAAGACCAAGGCTGTCATCGCCTTCTGCATGATGTGGGCAATTTCGATCATCATTGCTGTCCTCCCTTTGCTGGGTTGGAACTGCAAGAAACTGAATTCGGTCTGCTCCGACATTTTCCCCCTGATTGATGAAAATTACTTGATGTTCTGGATAGGGGTCACCAGTATCTTGCTCCTCTTCATCATATATGCGTATGTCTACATCTTGTGGAGGGCGCACCACCACGCTGTGAGGATGCTCAGCCGCGGGACTCAGAAAAGCATGATTGTGTATTCTTCAGACGGCACCAAAGTGCAGCTCACTCGGCCGGACCAGGCCCGCATGGACATACGACTGGCGAAGACCCTGGTCCTTATCCTAGTGGTCCTCATTATCTGCTGGGGCCCCCTGCTGGCCATCATGCTGTACGACCTCTTCTGGAAGATGAATAACTTCATCAAGACCATCTTCGCTTTCTGCAGCATGCTCTGCCTGCTCAACTCCACGGTGAACCCCATCATTTACGCCTTGAGGAGCAAAGATCTGCGGCACGCCTTCCGTACCACCTTCCAGCTTTGCAAGAGCTCCGCCCAGCCCTTGGACAACAGCGTGGAGTCTGACTGCCAGAACAGGAACGCACACAACGGTGCCAACAAAGTGGCAGAGAGCTGTGTGAAGAGCACTGTGAAAATTGCCAAAGCGACCATGTCTGTCTCCACCGAAACCTCTGCCGAAGCAGTCTGAGTTGCCTTCTCAGGACGTCTCTGAATTCACCTGTGCTAACACCCCTCCGCCCCCCAACAGCTGTTTAAATGTTGCACGGAAAAAAATTTGACCTGCATTAAATTACGTTTTGCAAAGGGGATGCAACATGAACCAGTCTAGTGAAAAGCGTTGTTTTCGTCTGTCATTTTTGCTTCTAACTTTTCCCAAGTGCCAAATGGGAATCAAGAAAGTATTGTCCATGAAATGGGAATGTGAAAAACAGGCATGTGGGATAGGTCCCGGTTTTTGTGTTGGGTGAAATAGTGCTGAGCATTTGTTAAAATGAATTTGCACCATTCTTCTCAGAGAGTCTCAATGTACAGTTGCAGTACCATACTTTGCTTTGTGGAAGACGACCGTGTTCGCGAAAGGCAAAGTTTATATCTTTAATCATGGGACAAGGGGCTATAGAAATCTTTACTAGGATTACAGAAACAAAAACAGTGTAGATATGTATCATTTAAGCATTTGTATATATTTAGTTGCAGTCACACCACTTATGTATAAAACACTTTTGCATTGTTTTCAACCTGTACAAAAATTCAGATATGGTTTAAATTTAACTGGGTCTAGGTTTGTATATAAATGTATCGTCTCATTAGGGATTAAATTAATGTGAAGGACATTCACAAAAGTAAGCGAATGTGTTACAATGCAGCTTTTACAATACACCATAATTTGTGATAGATTTAACGGTGTATTCTTTGAGGAAAGCACAATATTTTGACAACGTTTAATAGGAACTCCTTAACAAGAAGCCAGATTAGCAGTTAGGGAATTTTACTAAATTAGACTGACTATGACATGGTTCAGACGTAGATTGTTTTTTATGAGTTTTCTCAGCAAATATCAGAACAAGACTATTTTTTGCCTGCATGCCTGGTCATAAAGTCTTCTGAGTCAAACAAGAAAATTTCTGAGTGGAATACTTGGTACAGGCTAGCTGAATTCTCTCTATGAGGTATCTTTGAGTTCTACTGAATGGCTTTTCTAATTTGGGGTTTTGAGAAGCTAAGTCAAAGCAGGATTTGTGGTTTCATTTTTTCTTCATGGTACACTTGGTCTAAATTTTAATTATCAGCTAGCCACTTACTAATTATTTAATTTTAACAAACATTCCCGATTGTAAGAGGCTTTTAACTCTAAGCTACAACAACCTGCAGTATTAACCAGTCCAGACATGTTCTTAAAGGACATGTTTTTGTGATGTATGCAACATAATATCTTTAAAGGAACAAGTAATAGGTTTATTCCCTGCTGAAAAGAGAAGAAAGAAAACACAACGTTTCGGCCGTGGAGCCTTCTTCAGGTGTGACACCTGACTCCGCACCTGAAGAAGGCTTTGAGTTTCCTTTCTTCTCTTTTCAGCAGCCACCCACCTGAACTACTATAATATCTTTAATTTAATTAATTCTAAAATAATTTACAGAATCGGGGTTAATTGACACATTCTGTAAGTAAGGATGTACTGTAGTACTCTGTGTTGGATCACATCTTGCCTATCAGTGGCTCAGATCATTACAGTTAAGGTGTTTTACTGGTTTCAAGTGACGTACTCAAGTTCATTCCAGCTGCTTTGCCAGTGCTGTCTGATAATGGGAAGGCTGTAGACGGGGAGATAGCCATTATCTGACTTCACCAAGGAAGTGCAGCATCACTGATAACTGGTGTGTAACACCACTATAATCTCCCAAGACAAGCTAGCCTCTGATCGAGCCAAATAGAGGGAAAAACTGGACAAAATGTCTTTCGCTGAAAATGGGGCATCCTTCTTGGAATAAGCCGTCTTTTTGCACTTGGGTGGAGAGATACACAGGGACCTTTGTGTGCTGGACAGGGCAGGCTCATTTCGGTGTTAATTTTTCTTGCTGAATAAATTAATCCTTAAGCTTAATTGTATTACAGTTCGCTAAACAAACCTTTTGAATTCTCTAATTCTTAAACAGTTGGTGATTTCAGGGCTCCTGAGTCAATGTATACACAACTGGAAGTCACCAGCTTTTGGAGGATAAGAATTACTAACTGTTCAAATGATCCATTCGCTTTAAACTTTTACTTCATACGCTAATTTGCAAAGAACACCAGCAGACCCTTGGGTACTTTAGGACCAGGAGTAAAAATCCCTTCTTGTAAAAGAAACATATAAAGAAAATCTCCAATTTCCAGTAAACTCGGAAGTACATAGGCAGAACATGCAAGCCCACCAAAAAAAGGTGCCCCTAAACTGAACTGAAGCCATGAACCAGGAGTTATAAGGAAGAAGCAGTATCTGCTTTACTACTTCTGAGGAAAGGAATGGTTCAACAGAACAAAGGTTTTTAGATGTGAAAACATTATTGCATTTTTAATGGTTTGGGGTTTTCGATTCATTGAACAAAAACAACAATAAATATGTGGGTCGCACCACATAGGGTGTAGTCAGGAATATCAATATATGCAGGAGCCTTTGAAAGAAGAGAGGGAGTCTTTGTCAATTAAAGTGTTACCATGGTTTTTTATACTTCATTAAAATAGCTTCAGACTAGGCAACAGGATTTTTAGCGAAATGTTTACCCCTAACATCGAAGATTTCTTGTTAACTGGTTACCACCATAGAACTGAGGACTCCAAACAGCTACATGGTCAAATTTGTATCTGTCATTTCTACAACTTCTTACTGTGAGAGCACTTGTAGAACAAGAGTATTGTAGAAATGTATTTTCAACGATCTTGTACAGTATTATACGGAATATAGTTTACAAAATGACAACAGAAAAAGAGCATTGTTCCAATGCCGTGAACGGTGACTACTGTTCTAATCAAGAAAACACTTTATACAACTGATTTGCTTTGGCAAACCATGCACACCTTTGTTTTACGTGCTGTCACCTGTGTACAAGTCCTGCTGAGAATTCAATTCTGATGTGGTGTGCTGGTCACACCATTGTACTTTAAAATGTTTGTGTAGTAATGTGCAAAGTAGCTTTCAGTGCCCCGTGTTTGTGACTGTATTTTATCCGTTACAATTCATCAGATTTTCTGGGGTATTTATTTATGTACAAACAATATCATTAAAAAAAACATTGTACCTTACTTCATTGTTTAAATATTGTTTAAATATTTTATTTCAAGGGAAGAAAATCTTCTTGAGTGCTGTGGTTCGGAGAATTTAGATATGTAGACAAGGACCAAACAACCCAAGACAGAGCTTCTAAGCCTTGTGTATACAAACAGAAGCAAGCTTTGCATTATTCGCAGAGAAAACCTGCTTGAATATCAGCTGGGATCTGGACGTATCCAGAAATGCTTTTTAAATAATGTCATGAACAAAGGTTTATTCACCCTGGTAGAATATTAGGTTTGAAATAGCTAGTCTAGCAGTTTCTTGTTCTGTAACCATTTAACTTGGTGTGAATCTATTCAGAACTGTGTTCCAATCAACATTTTCCTGCTCCTGTTATTGTCGTGAGTCTTAAAACTGAACTCCTGATGTGAAGTGGCTTCTGTGATAAGGCTGCGTGTCAAGCAATCTGTCAGAAAACAAAATGTGCCGTCATCCACTGGACATGCGTGCCGTATACAATGTAGTCTGTTACCCAACCTTTGAATAAAGTCACAACTGTTCAATACTGAAGATGTTCTGTACTCAGTTCTCTCAAGAAATTCTTATTTTAAAATAAAGATGTAAACTGCAAATCATCCCACACAATCTGTTCACTTTGGTATTTGTGGTAAAATGCAAGATTCCAGAAAATATGCTTGTTTGCATTGCTTGTTGAATCCGTCAAGTGTGTTTTTATTCTTGTCTGGGAACACTTCTTCTCTCACAAACCCGATTTCTTATTCCACAGGGCCTGTTTACATCTTAAATCC